GTGCTGTCTTGAATCATCTTGGGGGGGGTGGTGGCGGCATCATAACTGGTATTAAAAAAACCTAATAAACCCCCAAGTATCTCAGCACCAGGCAAGGCATATCTGTTGAGAGCTCCCTTCTCTTCTTCTCTACCTCGATGATGTGCACAATAGAAGGAACTTTGCTCGGTAGGCCAACGGTAGTGATTTGGTTCTCCACATAACAAGACTATATCCCACCTTTCGCCTCTGCCTTGCCCGCCACTTACATCCTTGGGAACATAGCCCTTTATCTGCTCCTCCCTCTTCTACTTACCACGTAGTATTGTGTATTATAGCTATCCGAACACATTTTATATACCTCTGCTAGACCTTACATTCCATGAGGACGAGGTTTGGATAGAATCCAGACTTCTAGGTCCCCTGACTCTCTCATAGCATTATGCACATCAAATCACATAATAAATGAATGGTATTACTGGTCTTCTTGTTGGATATCTTCTGAAAGCTCAGTTCTAACATTAGAGCAGCGCTTCTGCATCTTTGAATACTCTGCTAGGTCTAATCATTCTCTACCTCATGAAAGGGTCACAGGTCACCCACCCACAGAAACCAAACCATTCTAAAGTGGCATCCTAAGGACTTATGTGACAGCCCAAACACTTATTACAACACAGACTACAAAGGTCTATGGGACTTCCTTTCAACGTGTTGTCTGTTTCATTGCTTTGACATGTCTCTATTCACAAGGACCTGCTCTTTTGGTCAGAATTGTTCTTGTGCTTTGGCAAGTAGGTGGCCCAGAGGAAAGAGTTCCAGGCTTGGAGTCAGGAATACCTGAGTTCAAATCTAGCCTCAGTCACTTACTAGATGTGTGACTCTAGGCAAGTTATTAACCTCTGCCTACCTCAGTTTCTTCAAGTATAAAATGGGGATAACAATAGCATGTACCTTGGGGCAGCTAGGTGGCGCTATGGATAGAGCTCTGGCCTTGAAATCAGGAGGACCTGAGTTTAAACCCGGTCTCAGACACTTGACATTAGCCGTGTGACTCTGAGCAAGTCAATTTACCCCAATTGCTTCACCAAAAAGCAAAAATAAAATAAAATAAAAACAATAGCATGCACCTTTCAGGTTTGTTGTGAGTCCTTAGTACAATGCATGGCACATAGCAGGTGTTATATAAATGTTAGCAATAATAACAATAATAATCTAATATAACATGGGAGCTGACTATGTGATTATAATAATATATAATAATAGTTATTATTATTCACCATATCCTACTTTTTTCCCCCTGGAATAGCACTTTTTGTGCTTCTGTCTCACATCTGGTTTAGATAAGGCCCTTATACTCAAGACAGGTGGTATTCACATGGCTTTAGTTGTGATTGACAAATTGGATAATATGATTTATAATAATGCACCTGGATTATGAAACATTATACTCTGGATTTTTTTTACATAACTGCAAAGAGATTGCTCTTAATTGAGAAACCCTACTGGTACAATCTGTTGTCTGTGATTGGATTACTCTGTAAGGCTAAATATGGCTTGGTCAAAGACACTAACTCTTGTCGACTTGTGCTTTTGGAAATTACACTACAACCTGCATGTTTTGTCACCTCCTTGTATCCCTTTGAACTCTAGAGAGAGTAGGCCTTGAGTTCTGCCAGATACCTTGTTGCTGGCCTGAATCAGCTATCACTCGTGTCTGGATGGCTCCATGATCTCATGGACATTGGTATTTCCTCCAGTGGTGTGGATTGCAAACCATCCGTTCTTCTGCATCTTGTACAACTCTTCTCTATGTTCTCCAATAAATCCTCATGCTGGGGGCCTTGCTCTAGATCTCTAAACACTGCAAGGGTCTCGGTGCAGCATGTGTACAGCTAACAGTTAATCCTCACTCTAGATTTATGACAGGACCACCTACTTTTCCAGGCTCACACAGGACCGTAGTATCATAGATTTAGAGTTGGAAAGGACCTCGGAGGTAATCAATAATAGTATTGGTTCTGATACTATTGGGCATGATTCCTCTCCTGAACACCTATCATAAACATTTTTATTGACCATTTGGCTCATTCCTAGTAAACTGGCCCCTATGTGATGAATTCTTTGGTAATGGCAACTCATGAATCACAGAAAAAAACAGAATGATCCACAGTCCTCTGAGGACCCTCTTCCACTTCTATAGTGATAGTGGTAAAAAAAAAATGGAGAGAGTTTTAAAAGCCATGTAGTTTTTTTTATTTTTATATTAATTTAACTGTGGACTGTAACCCTGAAATTAACTTACTTTGCCTTTGGTAGTTGATGATTCTATGATCCTGAAGGGGGCTAATCCCAATTTTAACATGTTGTCCATACTTTGTCTTCTTTTTTCCTGGAGAGTCTCCCTTAATCTCCAGGTAACTGAAATGGTGGTGAGGGAAAAGAAATCCTTATGACTCCTACCATTTCTCATCCTGAATCAGAAGACGGACCATCCCTGCCTTTACCAAGTAAATATTTGCTCTGGGTATCAAACTCTCCATATCAGATCCTGTTGACTTTGGCTCCAGTTAATCTGTATGAGGACCCAGAAAAACGAGTATGAACAGTTCAGAGGAATGAAGCTACTGTTAATCATTGGACAAAATTCTAGAGAACCACGAATAGAATGAAGAGATTGTAAACTGAATGGCTGAATCTCCACTCTCCATGATCTGTCATAGGAGTTGCCTTATAAGACAGTGAGTTTCCCATCATGGAAGTGTTCCAGCAGAGCTTAGATGGCCACCATCTGTTAGAGAGACTAAAAGTAAGATAGAATTGTCTGGTAGGAGTTGAACCTCTGAAGTCAGCTCTGTGATTCTCTAATTCTTGTCATGAAAACAGAATTGGCTTAGGTAACTGAAATCTTAGGAGAGGTTAATCAATACTTTTTGTTATCAAGATTATGAAAAATTAAACTATTAACAAAAATGATCAGTTGCAACATCTTTCTCAAGAAACCTTGTATCAGCAAGGCTAACAAGTAGCCAGATTTGATAGTACTGGGTTTCCTTCATACCTTTTTGGGCTCTCAACAGCAATACGTACCATGAAGAGCCCTCTTCCTAGGCTTTCTCATCCTTCCTGCTGCCTACAACTTCTGAGCACTGGAGGGCCTCATGGAGCACTTATGGGGAATACTTCTCTCCAACTTTCTTGCCAATGAACCCTTCCTTTTTCTGCCTTCTGGCTGTACATGGATGCTCCCATCTGCCCAGTGCTAGAAGGAACATAGAACTCTTCCTCCACTCTGATCCTTGGTCCTATGACTCACTTCCCATGGTCCTGGGTTGGATCCATCTAGGACACTCTCTCTCTCACTCCTCTCTCTCTCTCTCTCTCCCTCCCTCCCCTTCCCTCTCTCCATCACTCTCAACACCCTGCTCCAGCTTAGGTCTCTTCCAGCACAGACATTCCATGTTCTGATGTCTTTTATAGCACTAATGTTCTATTTGCTAAGGTCCTTCCATTTCTGGCATTCTATGTTCCAAGGTCTTCTTGGGCACTAATAATCTGCATTCTACAGTCCCTTCCAATTCTGACATTCTATGTTCTGAGGTTTTTTTCTATAGTACTAATGTTCTATGTCCTAAGACCCCTTCCAGCTCTGATATTCTGTGTTTTAAGGCCCCCTGGAGTTCTAACATTTTATGTGTTCTAAGGTCTCTTTCAGCTTTCATATTACAAGATTTTATAATACCAAAGGTAAGCATCTGCCATGCTTGAGCTTTGTCTATGTGCTCTGGGAATTTTTGGTTAGTGTCCCTTCACCTCCATTTAACTGCAGTGACTGAAATGGCAGTGGAGCAAATAATTTCCTATTATTGAGTCAGAAGACCAACCCTATAGTTTATTAAACAAATATTTGCCCAAGGTCTCAGGCCCTGAAAACTCACAAGGCTGCCTGATGTGAGAAAGATGTAAAGAGTTCTGGAGATGTGGTAAAGTCACATAGTGCTTTGCACAAGGCCAGCCACACAGGATATACTTAATAAATGGGTGTCGACTGACTGACTGATATGTTTGCTGGGACTCAGGTTTAAGCTCTGCCACCAATGAGCTGGGGTGATCTTAAAAAAGTCACTGCTCAAGAGGCAGCTAGGTGGCACAGTGAATAGAGCACCGGCCCTGAAGTCAGGAGGACCTGAGTTCAAATCCAGCCTTAGACCAAACACTTGACATGTACTAGCTGTGTGACCTTGGGCAAGTCACTTAACCCCGATTGCCTCACTAAAAAAAAAAAGTCACTGCTCCCTCTGAGCCTCAGTTTCCCCATTTACAAAATAGGGAGATTGAACTAGATCATTTCAAAGTTCCCTTTGTAATGTAGGTATTATATTTGAAGGCCAGCGGTAGGAGAGAAATGCACTTATTTGAGAGGTGATGTGAAAAACTGGCTATTAGTTTTCACTGATTGTTTATATTTGCTAATAAAGAGCATCTTCAAGAATCATTACAAACTATCACTAATTGTCCTTGAAATGAAGGCTGAACTCAAAGCTAACAGACTTGGATTCAAGTCCTGCCTCTGACAGACTGTATGACCCTGGGTAAGTCATCTTAACTCCTCAGTGCTCTAGGCAGCTCTCTAGGGCTATAAAATTTCAGAGAAGATGGCAGCCTGTACTGGTGGAGGGAGTTGATTCATCAGAGAGTTCTCTATATCATAAATCATAGCTTCAGTCCCAATCTCCTATCAAAGACTTGTACAACAGACTAGAAAGCATACTTATCAAATCTACATAAACCACAAAGCTGGGAGGAATAACCTAGCTATTCAGAAATTCAGTGGACTGTTTGGGGGCAGGGGTAAGAGGATTCCCATCTTTCAGGGTCTTCAAATGGAATTCTAGGTGAAGAGTTGTTGAAGATGCTGGAGAAGAGATTCCTGTTACAGTATAAGTTAGACTCTGAGCCCTTCAGGATCCCAAAATCCCTTTTGAGATTTATTGTTCTATTCAGCTGTCACTGAGCATACTTACCCATTCTGTTGTATTAGATGGGGTTCTTTTATTTTCCTTCATTTTTCTTTTCATTTCAATATACTCAGTGTCTTCCTTTTCCTCCTGGTCAGTTCTGTTTGGCTCTAGGGGTTGGATGAGGCATAATTAATTCTCACATTTTCAGGTCAGGGTTTTCCACAGTGGGGCCGCCACAATACTGCTATAACTCATGCTCTCTCAGGTTCTTAGGGGCAATCTTGTTGTAGGGTGATAAACATTCCTACTACTCATCACTGTAGCTCATGGGCCCTCAGTGGTGTACTTGCCAGTTACATGACATTGGTCAACATGATGCCATTGGTTCAAACATAAAACATTCATTAAATAATAATGCAAAGGCAATAATAATTTTAGCATCAAGAATACTCAATGGAATATAAGTACAGGAATAATCAAAATATCACAGTCTATTCATACACCCTAGTCATGCCTTCCCATCAGTGCATGCATTGTCCATGGGGGAAAGTAGCCACATACTTATGGAAACCTAGTAGGTTTCTGTGGGGAAACCCACATACTTGAGGCCGATTTAGAACTTTGGACTACAGGCCTTGATGTCCTCGGTCACTTTAAGAACAGTTTGTGCCACATTAAGCTGTTCTTCTGTTACCTCCTTACCTTCTAGTCCTTACCACTCTTCTGGGGCAAAACTGCTCCTCTCTGCTTTAGAGCTGATGAAGCAATGACAAGCTCTTAAGTAGTTTACTGCTACACTTAAAAGCTGCTGAGAAAGTATTACACTGTTGTAATGACAAGGAGTTCCCCTAAGCTGAAGAAGTGAAAAACTGTTCAGGTTGACTTTCTGGGCAATGCACACAAGCCCAGTCAGCTCTTCAAATCAACTGGACTCTGAATCTTATCAAGTCTAGTCTCTTCTCACAGCAAAACAGATGCAAAACTTCTCTTTTTCTGCCTCTTAAGCCAGAGAGGGCAGTAGAGGCATCAAGTACCTTTGAGAGATTTCCCTCCCTTATATGGTTCTGGAGGGCAATAAGCAAACAGCGACAGAATTCAGCCCTGTTTCAGTGAGGCTCCCAAAATGCTGAAGGTGCAGTCAATCAGCCAAGAAATGCCTCTTTTTAAATCAACAGGCTTTCAGCAAAGCAATAGAAGCTTTCTAACTAGTTTACTACCCTGCTATGAGCCTGGCTCATAGCAAGCACTTGAGGTTTGGTGTGCTCTTCAGCACCCTGTTATGCGGTTATGAGTTAAAAGTCATTTAGCTCTGTCAGCTCTGGAGCAGGAGAGGAGCAGATGTGCCCACAAGAGAGTGGTCAGGACTGGTAGATGACCAATTAGCAGAGGAAAAGCTTAGTTTTTGAAGGGACCAAGCACAATGACAAACACTTAAGGTTAGTTGATTGATCCATTGATCTTGATTGATTAATTGTGGTGAAGGTATTTTCAGCCCCAATATACCAGGAGTTAGTTTCTAGATTAAAATCATGGAATCTCAGAGCTGGAGGGGACCTCAGAAGCCAACTTATTCAACCCATACCTGAAGCCCAAATGTAGAAAAGTAAAACAACCAGTTTCAATGTGAAGATCTCCAGGGTCAGGAGAATGCAGTCATTCCATTTTTAGACATCTCCAATGGTTATAAAAGACCTTCTTATACAGAACTGATAGCCGCCTCCCTATTAGTTCTCCCTGTTATTTCTAGTTCTGACTTCTAGGGTGTAGTAGAAAAGATTTAGTACCTTGACTTAATGATACATAGTGTTCATATCCTCTTCTTTAGGCACTCAAATCTTCACAAACCCCTAGAACATTCAAGCTGCATGGGCCTTTAGAGGTAATCTAGTTCAGCTCTTCTCAAAATGTGAACCCTTTACCCCTTGTGGTCCCCAAGACCCTTTCAGGGGATCTGTGAGGTAAACATTTTAATAATAATACTAAAACATTTGACTATTAAAATACTCTTCCAACCACATACATGTGTGAGGTCAGATTTTTTTTTTGTATACTTCAACCAAAATAACATATTGCAACAGTTTGAATGTAGAAACAGATATGATAATCCAACTTTCTTCTATTAACCTATACCATGGGTGGGGAACCTGCAGCCTCAAGGCCACATGTGACCTTCTAGGTCCTTGGGTTCGCCTTTTGACTGAGTCCAAGTTTTATAGAACAAATCCTTTTATTAAGGGGATGTGTTCTGTGAAGTTTGGATTCAGTCAAAGGGCTGCAATTGAGGACATAGAGGGTCACATGTGGCCTCAAGGCCTGATAAATATTAAAGGGATTTACAAAAATATGTGAAACAATGACATTTTTCTAACTAATACTGTTTTTGTTTTGAAAATTACAGTTTTCATAAAAATGTTATTTATGTTAATAGGTAATGGGTTTTTATTGTTATTTATAAATGAATTAATAAATAACTAAAAATTAATCCATTTTAATGGCTAATAAGGTAAATATTAATAGATATAACCAGGAATGTGCTGATGTTTAACAAATAGTTCTCTGCAAAGGCATGACATACTTTTAAGTTTAATTTGAATTATAAACATTTTCCCCATCTCTTTCTTAAGTTTAAGTGATCAACAAGAACATTTTTAGCATTGGCTGATTTTTGAAGTTTAAATGCTCGCACTGAAAATTTAACAATTGGCTCTTCCATGTTCCAGCATACCCTGGGATAGAATCCACATAAACAAAAGCTGCTTAGGTTTGTCAATAATATTTAAGAATGTAAAGAAGTCTTGAGACCAAAACATTGAAGAACTGCTACTTTAGTTCAACCTCTTCATTTTATAGATATCATACCACCCACATCAACCTCTCCCACCAAGTGTACATATTGGTACCATATCTTTAACTAAGAAACTAGTATCCCCAGAGTACTGTCTGTACCTGCTGCCATCTTTGTAGCCCTGTTTTCCTGATTACCATAACACTAAGACAGAGGACTAAAAGTAAACTTTTGTGTTTTGAAGACTCTGGTCCCATTTAATTGAGATTTTACACATTTAGCCCACAGAAGAATTATTTGGAGGATGAGTCTACAATAATCTTCAAAAACCTGAATACTTGTCAATTAGAGTGAAAACTGTTCTACATTACTACTAGACTGGAAGTACCCTGAAGGCAGAGACTTTTTTTTTACTCATCAACTAACATCCCCAACAGCACACAGTAGGAGTTTAATAAACATTTGTTGAGCTAATCATGATAGGAGAGGCAGCATGGTGCACTCCATATAGACTTGATCTTGGAAGCAGGAATCCTGACTTAAAGTCTAGCCTCTGAGCTGTACAACCCTGGACAAGTCACTTAAGAGATCAGTGCTCTTGGCAGCTCTTTAAGACCAGAGATAATCCTGACTTGCATTGGTAAGGGTTTCCTTACCTAGGTGTAACCCATATCAATGAAATCCCAGGTCTAGTCCCTATCGCTAATGATGATATAAAAAGAGGAAAATGACATATTGTTACATGGCAATTTTAGGTTATACATAAAGAAAAATTAAAGAAAGGGTTATTAATATTGATATTATTACTAGTTGTTAGCAATAATTACTAGTTATAAGCAATAATAACAATAACAGTAATAATATTTAGAACGTGGTAGAGTAGCTAGAGTGCTAGTCGTGGGGGCAGGAAGACTTGAGTTCAAATCTACTTTCAGACACTTTGTAGCTATGTGACTCTGGGCAAGTCACTTCACTTCTGCCTGCCTCAGTTTCCTCAGCTGTAAAATGGATGTAATAATAGCACCTACTTCCAAGGATTATTGTGAGAGTCTTGGCCTAGCTGGCACATAATAAGCACTTAATAAATGCACATTCCCCTCCTCTGATAACCTCTTACATTTTTAGAACACTTGAAACAACTCTTACCAATTCTTTGAGAATTCTTTCGCTTCTTGCAATAATAGCTCAAGCAGGTACTGAATGTTAGGAGAAGAAAGATGACCAAAGTCCACCAGGGCCATTGTTTTTTTGTATTCTTTTCTGCAAAAAATATAGGCAAAAGTCATCTATTTCTGTTACTTTAAGGCGCTAAAAACATCAAAATTAATTTCCAAAATGGTTTAGTTAGATCACTATGAAATTTTAACTCCTCTATACATCCACAGAATCCATAGAATATGTTTACAATAATAACTATTGACATTATACAGTATTTTACATACATCTGCACCCCGCAAAAATCCTAAGATGCAGGCAGGGCAAAGACTGTTATTTGTATTTTGAATGTGAAAAAACTAAGGTTCAGAAAGGTTCAGTTACTAATAGCTAATAAGTGGTAACAATATATATTTTTATGGGTTAATATTAGTAGGAAAACAGTTTCAGAGCTGGAAAGAACCTTAGAGATCATTAAATTCAAGCACCTCATTTTACTTATGAGAAAGTGGAGGCACAGAGGAGTGATGTTGGAAGGAACCTTCAATAAAGAAGGCACCCACTCTGTCCCAAAGCAACTCATTCCACTTTAGGATAATTCTAATGATTAGGAAGGTTTCCTTATAACAAGCTTAAATATGTCTCTTTGCAACCCCATATTGATCCTGGCTCCTCCCCCTAGGGCCAAGCAGAGTAGGTCAAATCCCTTTTTCCCATGACAGTCTTTCAAATACTTGAAGACAGCCATCATCTCCACTGCACAGCCTTCCCTGCTAAGTCTTGTCATCTCCAGGCTAAACATTCCCAGACCCTTCAATCAATTCTCATACGGCATGAACTAAAGACCTTTGCCTTGATTATCCTGGTAGCCCTTGTCTGGACACTATAAAGTTTGTAAATTTACTTCCTAAAATGTGATGCCTAGAACTGAACCCAATATTCCAAATGCAGTCTGGCCAGAGCAGAATATAGTGAGCACATCCCCTCCCTAACTTCGGACCCTGTGCTTCTCTTAATATAGACTAAGATGGTGCTCACTTTCTTTGGTTGCCATCGCATATTGGATAAATGGTTATGGAATTGAATTAAGGCTAAATAAGTCTAATGTGCAGTCCAAGTGGATGCTCAGTCAATATTGGTCACAATGAATTCATCATGGAAAGTTGCTGCTGTTGAGTCCATCTATAAATTTCATTTGGCCCTTGGTTTTCCCCTGCCTTATAGGAGGAACTCTGCAGTAGAAAGAACCCTGGCCTGCAAATACCTTGTGTTTAAGGCTTGTGTCTGCCACTTACTGATGACCTATGTGAACCTGGGCAAGCCCCTTCTTCTCCGAGCCTCAGTTTACAAGAACATTGGCAGATCCACTAGTGTTTTTTATTAGATTTTTTTAAAAGCTATTAGTTTCTTATTTGTTAGCTATTTTAAAATAATTAATGTTTATTATTGATGCTATTAATTGTTGGCTATTTCTACTAACTGTTTATTTAATAATTAATATTTATCATTGATACTCTTTATTTAGCTATTAGCTATTTTTATTAGTTGTTTATTTAACTCTTCTGTTAGTTTAATTTTAGTGTATTTATAACCTAGTCTCCCGACAAGAATGTAAACTCCTAGGGGGCAGGGAACCTATCTTTGTATTTCTCCCAGCCCAGAGTGTAGTGTGCTAGATATAGCAAGCACTTAATACCTTGGTTGAATAAATAAAAACTTGTGTTTGATCAAATGAACACTGGTCAAATGCCCATAATCAGAGTAGGATAAAAGGAAGTTTCAAAGATCAGGCAATGGAGGTGAAAAAAATGTCACATTTCCTCTGCTTCCAGGTGTAGCTCATTATGGAGTATTTTCTATCAGCAGATGCTTTCATTCCTTAAGAGGAACAGGAAGCAAGGAAGGAAAATATAAATAGGCAGAAGGTGTCAAAGATGGTACTGGGTTGCCCTACATCTAACAGCTCAGTTGGAATTATTAATGACCAAAGATTTTTCATTCATTCATTCAATAAGGTGTTATCAGGTGTTTCCTCAATGCTATGCTGGTTATTATGGAGGTGGTGGTGGGGTGTGTGTGTGTGTTCAGGAGGGTTCAGGGAAGGGGATCAAGCACAAGAAAAGTTTAAGATTGCCTCTGACGCACAGCTGTGTGACCATGGACAAGTCACTCAACTTCTCTTAGCCTCAATTTCCTCCTCTGTAAAATGGGCATAAGAATATCATTGACCTCACAAGGTTGTTGTGAGAATCAAATGAGTATATAGATATATACATATATATGTACATACACACATATGTATACATATATACACACAGAGAGATATGCAAAGACCTTCAGGAGCAGGCTAGATATAGCCAGCTCAAATTGGTTCTTGAGAGCTGACTTAAATTTTCAGTGTAAATGTTTACACCTCAGAAATCAGCAAAGGTACAAATTAGGGCTTGATTTATTGTTTTGTTGATTTCTAGACTTAAGAAAGTGATGGAGAAATGATGAAAATGTAGATTAAACTTAAAAGTGTGTCAGGGTTAGGTTTTTTCCCCCTGAGGGTTGGTTGTTAAATATCTACCAGCATACTTCTGTATGGAGCCCCATATGAATAAAATAATACGAAATATTAAATAATAAATTAAAAAATATAAAAATAAATAAAATAATGTAAAACCACATCAGATTGAGTTACAGGAGTGGACCTCAGAGATCATCTATTCCAACTCTTCATTTTAAAAGGAAAGAAATTTCCATGAAGTTCTCAGTGGTGTGTTTGATAGGAAGAACAGTAGATGTGAAGTGTGAGGTCCTGAGTTTGAGTTCCAGCTCTGCTATTTACTAACGGTGTGACCTTGGGCAAATTACTGACCCTCTCTGGACCTGTTTTCTCAGCCTGTTGGACTAAATAAAGAACTTCAAAATTTCTTTCCATCCCCAAATCCTATGATCACCAGTGTTTCTACTCTTTGAAAAAAAAATGGGCAAATTCCTATGCTTCCCACCATCTATTTTGATATCCACAGTGAGGCGGACACAATGGATACAGGGGGCACAGTGAAGTACAACAGAGAAAGAACTGGTTCTGCAGCAGAGTATCTGTGTTTAAATCCTATCCATGATGCTTATGGTATGAACTTGGGGAGGTAACTTGACCTCCTTGGCTCCACTGTCCTTCATAAAATGATGGGGTTAGATGAAATCACTAAGCTCCCTTCTAGTACTATAATCTAAGGGAAGGGTTAAGAGAAAACATGAGAGGGAAGCATCCCTAGTGCCTTACCTTTCACAGTGAGAAGAGTTCCAGGTCCTTGTGCTTGCTTATATATAGGTATGTCAACTGTTATTTTACATAAGTAAAGTCCAGAGTCATGTACTTTCAGGTTTTTTAGTTCCAGGGGTTCCTTCCCGGGGTCTTGGATGAAAACGTTCCTGTCGTATAAATTCTTCTTAATGAGGGTAGCATTGTCTTTGAGGGTTTTTGTTGGATGGGTAACACTGTCTTGGACATGGCTGACTTTTTTCCATTCTACTCGAAACTGTTCCACTTCAGAACTGACATTCCAGGAACAGATTATTTCAACAGACTGTCCCACCAGTAGCTGCAGCTCAGAAGGGCTCTGAGTGATTGTCAAGTTATTCACCGATGTCAGCACTTTTAGCAAAAGAAGAATTATCGCTGTATTAACTACTAAAGAGAAAATCCAGAATATCCCCAGAAGGGACATCCCAATCCCCTTTTATGGTCTCACAGAACTCTGTGGGCCTTACTTTCTTCATCTGGAAAATAAAGAAGTAGATTATCCATAATTTCGGATTTAGAGCTGGCAAGGACCTTACAGGCTAAATATCTCAACTCCCTCATTTTACAGATGATCAAAAGTCATGAGGCCCAGAGAGGCTGTGTTCCATTCAAGATCATACAGCTAATAAGTAATCAGTAAAGCAGATAAGTTCCCTGCTTTCAAGGAGCTCACAGTCTAGTGGGGGTGATGACAAGCAAACAACTATGTATAAACAAGCTTTTATGTATCTATACAGTACATATACACACATATATGCACATATGCATATATATCTCATATGTACATATACACACACACATATACACTCTCTCTCACACACACATATATATACACACACATATGTATATATATATATATATATATATATATATGGCATGTACATTTCCATAGCCCCTTGGGCATAATTCCAAATCGCACTCCAAAATGGTTGGATTACTTCACAACTCCACTAATGCACCAGTGCTCCAATTTTCCCACATTTCCTCCAACATTCATCATTTACCTGTTTTTTCATGTTGGCCAATCTTATAGGTGTGATGTGGTACCACAGAGCCTCCTTGATTTACATCTCTCTAATCAATAGTGATTTAGAGCATTTTACATATATATATATATCATATATATGATATATATATGATACACACACACACACACACACACACACACACACATATATATATATATATATATATATATGAGATAATCAACATAGGAGCACTAGCCACGAAAGTTTTCTTGCAGAAGGTAGGATTTTAACTGTGACTTGAAAAAAGCCAGGAAAATTAGATGGTAGACTCTAGGAGGGAGGAAATTCCAGACTTGAGGAACAGCCAATGAAAATTCTCCAAGCTGGGAGATGGAGCATCTTCTGTCAGAACAAGGAGGCCAGTATCACTGAGTGGTAGTGTACATGGAAGAGAGGGATGTGTGAGAAGACTGGAACAGTAGGAAGGGGCTAGTTTATGAAGGCCTTTGAAAGCCAAACAGAGGATTCTAAATTGGATCCTGGAGGTAACAGTAAGTCACTGGAGGCAGAGAGACCACTCAAAGGCTACTGAGATAGTTCAATGGTGAGGTGATGAGACCTGGGCCTGGGTGGTGGCAGTGTCAGAGGAGAAGACAGGGTGACTAGCAGGACTAACTTAACAGTAGATTGGATATGGGTGATGAGAGAAAGTGAGGGGTCAAGGATAGTGCCTAGGTTTTGAGCGAGGGTGCCTAGGAGGATTGATAGTCAGAGGGAAGTTTAGAAGAAGGAAAGGACCTGGGTTCAAATCCCAACTCTGTTTCTCATCTGCCATCTGTGTGACCTAGGGTGAATTATTTAACCTTTCTGAAGTTTAGTTTGTTTATGTGTAAAATGAGGGGGTTGGTCTTCTGTAATCTGTAGGTTCTTTCAGCCTTAAATCTATGAGCCTATAAATGTATGATGTGTTCCATCTTGGGAGGGCCTGTGTTCTTCAGTCATAGCCTTAAAGAATCCAGGGTCAGCCCAATAGCAAGAGATAGAAATAGAAATTCCATTTAAAGTTACTGTAGACATTATAAAATATTTAGGAGTCTACCTATCAAAACAAATCCAGGAACTATATGAACACAATTACAAAACACTTCTCACACAAATAAAGTCAGATCTAAATAATTGGAAGAACATCAGTTGCTCATGGGTAAGGGAGCTAATATAATAAAAATGACAATTCTACCTAAGGTAATTTACTTATTCAGTGCTATACCAATCAAACTACCAAAAATTATTTTATAGAGCTAGAAAACATAATAATAAGATTCATTTGGATAAAAAAGGGTCCAAAATATCAAGGGAACTAATGAAAAAAAATTCAGGGGAAAGTAACCTAGCCATTCCAGATCTAAAATTGTATTATAAAGCAGCAATCATCAAAACTGCTTGGTACTGGCTAAGAAATAGAGTAGTGGATCAGTGGAATAGGTTAGATATGCAAGACACAGTAGTCAATGACTATAGTAATCTATTATTTGATAAACCCAAAGACCCCAGTTTCTGGGATAAGAACTCACTCTTTGACAAAAACTGCTGGGAAAACTGGAAAAGAGTGTGGCAGAAACTAGGCATTTATCAAAATCTCACACCATATACCAAATAAAGTCAAAATGGGTTCATGATTTCGATATAAAGGCTGATACTGTAAGCAAACTGGGAGAGCAAGGAATAGTTTACCTGTAAGATTTATGGAGAACAGAAGAATTCTTGACCAAACAGGAGACAGAGAACATTATGAAATGCAAAATGGATAATTTTGATTACATTATGTTGAAAAGTTTTTGCACAAACAAGGCCGATGCAACCAAGATTGGGAGGGAGACAGGACTGGGAAGGAATTTTTACAACCAATGTCTCTGATGGGGGCCCCATTTCTAAACTATACAGAGAACTAAGTCTAACTTGTGAGAATGCAGGTCATTCCTCAATTAATGAATGGTCAAGGGATGTGAACAGACAATTTTCAGATGAAGAAATTAAAGCTATCTATAGTCATGTGAAAAAATGCCTGAAATCACTATTGATTAGAGACATGCAAATCAAGGTAACTCTGGGGTACCGCATCACACCTATCAGATTGGCCAATATGACAAAATAGGTAAATAATAAATGTTGGAGAAGACGTGGGAAAATTGGAGCACTGGTGCGTTGTTGGTGGAGTTGTGAAGTGATCCAACCATTTTGGAGAGCCATTTGGAACTATGTCCAAGGGGCTATGGAAATGTGCATGCCCTTTGACCCAGCAGTAGCACTTCTGGGGCTGTATTTCAAAGAGGTCATAAAAGTGGAAAAGGGACCCACATGTATAGAAATATTTGTAGCAGCCTTTTTTTGTGGTGGCAGAGAGTTGGTGACTGAAGGGATGCCCATCAGTTGGTGAATGGCCGAGCAAGTTGTGGTGTGTGAATGTGATGGAATACTGTTGTATTGTGGGAAATGATGGGCAGGCAGACTTCAGAAGAACTTGGAAAGATTTGTATGAACTGATGCTAAGTGGAGTGAGCAGAGCCAGGAGGGCGTTGTGCACAGTGGCAGCCTAGCTGTGTGATGACTAACTTTGATGGACTTAGCTCTTCTCATCAATGCAGGGATCTAGGACATCTCCAGGGGTCTCATGATGGAAAATGCTATCCATATCCAAAGAGGGAACTGCTGAGTTTGAATGCAGATTGAAGCATACTATTTGCTCTTTTTTTTTCTCTTCTGTTTTGTTTTGTTTCCTCTTTCTGGTGGTTCTTCCTATTGGTTCTGATTCTTCCCTACAACATGACTAATGTGAAAAAACGTTTAATAGGAATGTATATGTATAGTCTATGTCGGATTGCGTCTTGGGGGGAGGCAGGGAAAAATTTGAAACTTGGGAGCTTACGGAAGTGATTGTTGATAAATCAAAATAACAAAAATTTTGAAAAAAAAAAAGAATTCAGGGTCACCTCCACCTGAGATCTCTTGTAGTCCAATCCCCTTATTTTATAGATGAGGTATTGGAGGGGGTGTTAGTGAAGGAAAACTGATTTCATTGAAAAAAGTACGCTTAAATCGGATACATTCGGCGGAAATGCCAGAGGCCTAGCAGTATAAGGCTGATTCTATCCCAAGTAGAGTGACTATTTGTGTGACTATGGGCCAGCTACCTGACTTACAAGCCTTAGCTTCTACATCTGTAAAATAAAGATGTTGGATTTTGTGACTGCTGAACTCCCTACAAGTTCTCATGATGTATACTTTTTATGGGTAACCCACCTCTGAACCCGGCACATTCCTGCTAGAAGAGAGATAAGAAGAAAGCAGTTAGAAAAATTTCTAGCTGATCATGCGTTTATCTATGGCATTTTCAGTTTTTGTATCAATGGTCTAAACTTAATTAGATAAGAGGATGAAATGGGCCAGGTTGCATTTGGGAAATATAATGCTTTTAATGATCCCAAGCTACTCCTTGAAATCCATTTAAAAATATTAATAAAAGAGGAATTGTCTTGGAATCTTAGACTTTGTCAAGTTACCTAACCTCTCTGGGCCTCAGTTTCCTCATCTGTAAAAGGAAGGGGTTGGATTCAGTGGTTTCTGGAGTCCCTTCCGGCTCTGCAACTGTGTTCCTATGGGCTGGTCCAGCCCTTCCATTACACAGAGGAAGAAAGTGAGATGCAGAGAGGATCTGCCCAAGGTCATACAGTGGGTTAGGGTTAGAGCCAATCAACCCTGATATCTAATCAAACATGGCTGGCCGCGGATACACAGGGAAGGGTGCTTCTTTGTCTGCCTAGGCCAGATCAGGAAGCTACAAAGAAGTTTAACAACAAAGAAATACAAATTGGCTTCAGGCACTGGGGACCAAGAGGAAGAGAAAAGCGTTTTAATTCTGTTCAAGAATGAGCATACAAAAGGGAGGGAGCTGAGGGGGTTCGGACTGGGCAATAGGGAGACAATATCATTGTTGAGTTTGTTAGCTTTTTTTTGTGTTGTTGTTTTTGTTTTTGTTAGGCAACCAGGCAAAAGGGTAATGGACTGAGTAGACTCAGAGGGCCCGGCTGATTTCATGCAGGGGTGGGGAACCTTTGGTCTCGAGGCCACATGTGGCGCTCTAGGTCCCCAAGTGCAGCCCTTTTTGACTGAATCCAACCTTCATAGAACAAATCCCTTTAATAGAAGGATTTGTTCTGTACAACTTGGACTCAGTCAAAAGGCCACACCTGAGGACCTGGAAGGTCACATGCGGCCTCGAGGCCGCAGGTTCCCCACCTCGGAACCATCAGGGAAACTTGCTGGGAGCAGTCTAACAAGCTGAACTTGAAAGCTGTTCATTCATTTGTTCACCAAACATTAAGTGAGTACTTATCATGCGAAGGGCATTAAGCTAGTTGTTAAGAGGAATGTTTTTGTTCTAGACCATCCGTGTCATCCCATGTAGGGAGCTCCTAGTATGCAAACTCCCTCCACACATGAGATCAGCATCTCATCTGTAACTTAAAGGTCTTAGAGAGTTGCCTGAGGCTCAGAGAGGTTGTATAACTTGCCCAGGGTCACATAGCCAGAATGTGTCATGGATAACACTTGAACTCTATCTTGCTCATTCATCAGCCCATTACACTGTGCTGCCTCTCATCTATAGATTCACAAGTATACAACATAGTGCCAGAGGCAGCTAAGAGATAGAGATCTGGACTTGGAGTCAGGAAGACCTGAGTTCAAATCCATCTCAAATACTTTATAGCTGTGTGACTCTGAGCAAGGTACTTAATCTCTGCCTGCCTCAGTTTCTTCAACTATAAAATAAGGATAATAATACACCTACCTCCTATGGATGGTGTGAAAATCAAATGAGATGATATTTGTAAAGAGCCTGGCAAATAGTACGTGCTTAACAAATGCTTGTTTCCTTCTTTTCTTACCTGTCCAATAGAAACTTGAAAACTGATAAGGAACTTATGATCACCCAACTTAGTAGTAGTTTGTCCCCGTCTCTATATTCACAAAATTGTTCTTGTAAAAACATTTAATCCTAAAAGCCAGTTCTTTTTTTTTTTTTCTTTTTTTCTTTTTTTAGTGAGGTGATCAGGGTTAAGTGACTTGCCCAGGGTCACACAGCTAGGAAGTGTTAAGTGTCTGAGGCCAGATTTGAACTCAGGTCCTCCTGACTCCAAGGCCAGAGCTCTGGTCACTGCGCCACCTAGTTGCCCCCTAAAAGCCAGTTCTTAAAATGAAGTGAAACTCAAGGGCTTCATTTAGTAGAATTTGCTGACCATTTTAGGAATCAATTTATATAAATAAATATTTTATCTATCTATATCTATATATCTATATATACACACGTATATATAGTACGTAGCCTAGCATCTATAATGTATATATATATACATATATATGTGTATATATATATAGAGAGAGATAATTTATATTCAACCCTTTTAACAGTCAATAAAGTGTAACACTTTCATGCTCATTTCTTAGAGAAAAATATGGGCCTGGAAAAGTTCCATGAGCCCACCTTCCAAATGTTTATATTACCTTCTTTCAAGATTCGACAATCAAGCTTATGAGGTCCTGTCATGGGGTGTTAATGGAAAGAGCCCGGGATAGGGAGCAGGGGACACTTATTCAAATCCTGAGGTTCTCACTTACTGCCTGTGTGACCTTTGGCAAATCACTTCATCTTTTTGGACTTCAGTTTCTTTATCTGTAAAATGGAGGGGTTAGACTAGATGGCCTCTAAGTCTATGATACTGTGATCCTTTGGGATAGACTTTTTAAAAAAATTTATTTTTAATTTATGGAATAAAATAAGCATTTCCATATCATAGTATAATAAAAGAAATGATTGCACATGAAATTGCAAATCAATTATGCACAACCTGCAATTCTTTTTAAATATATAACAAAGTTATAATGTAAATTTCTTTTTTCCCCTCCCTTCCCTCACCCTTAGAGATAGCTATCATTGGACATAGATTTTTAAAATATTCTACAGATGTGCAGATTTTGAAAGCTTTATAAAACTGTAGGCAGGGATATAAAATATATGTGCACCTAGAAGGAGGGGAGGCAACATGGTCTAATGTTAAAGGTTCTAGACTTGGGAGTTAGGAAACCTGGGTTTGAGTCCTGGTTTTGCCATGTATTACCTTTGTGACCTTGGGCAAGTCATATGACCTCTCTGGGCCTCAGTTTCCTCATCTGTAATGACAGAGTAGGGCTAGATCATTTATCAGGTTCCTTCCTACCTCCCAGGCTTGTTGCAAGGAGCAAATAAGATCATATTTATAAAGCACTTAGCCTAGCACCTGGAGCTTAGTAGGTACTTAACAAGGGCTTGTTTCCCTCCTTGCTTCTCGCTCTAAATCAGATGATCCTAGTTCTGTTACCAGCTCGCTGTGTGATTTTGGGGCAATATCTGAGCCTCAGTTTCCTTTACCTATAAAATGATGACCTGCATTCTCTACCTCACAGAGTTTGTGAAGACAGCATTATAAAAGGTGGTCTTTCTTAAATCAATTCATTCTCTTAAGGTGTAATTTAAGGAAGCCATGGATTCTAAGGATAAGATTTTAGATTCATGTATTCGTGGAGGGAGGGGATGGGGTTAGGGGGAGAAAGCAAAGAAGAAGGAAGGAAGGATAGTGGGACAGAGAGAGGGAAGGAGGAAGCAAATGATAGAAAGGAAGGGAAGAAGAGGGAGGGGAAGGGAGGAAAAGAGAGAGAGAAAAAAACAGATCAAGAGGAAGGGAGGAAGTATAGAGAGAGAGAGCAATGTAGGAAAAGAAGGAGAGAGATAGGGGAAAGGGGTGAGGCAGAGAGATAGGGAGAAAGAAAGGGAGAATGAAGAGCAGAAAAGAGGGAGGGGAGAGAGAGAGAGAGAGAGAGAGAGAGAGAGAGAGAGAGAGAGAGAG